CTGATGACGGAGGCAGTATGACCTCTGAAACGTTGGTTAACATCGACCAGACTACACAGCGCAATAACCCAGAAGACGGATATCTTCATACTCACCGCTGTGAGAACCTCAAGTCTTACATAAATGTACATATTAATCTTTGCCTTGTAAGTGTGCAGGTATATGAAAACAAAACATATTGCATGTTGAATAAAACTCTTTGTGATGAATTGGTGAGTGTGTGTATTATGAATTCTAATTTCAAAAGATAAGATACTGTCTTTTTAGAAATTTTATGTGTGAATATACAATTCTTTATACAAATTTATGGCAACCCTTAAACCTTATGGCAGCACACCACTGTGTAAGGCATACCATTCAAATTACATTACCTATTTCTGTACTTAACTTTTTTCCCCTTGCAACTGAAAATCTGATTTCAATAAGCAGTGAAAGTAATGTGCATTTTGTTACAATCTTCTCACCTTGCCTCATATTTCCATGCTTTCTGAAGGTATGATTGACTATTGTGTTGCAGCCCAATGGAAGGTTTGAAACCAATAAGAAGATTTGCCTCAGCATCTCAGGTCATCATCCAGAAACATGGCAGCCCTCGTGGTCCATCCGCACAGCTCTCTTAGCGCTCATTGCTTTCATGCCAACACCTGGCAATGGCACCATTGGCTCTTTGGACTACACCCCAGAAGAGCGACAGATGCTAGCACACAAGTATGTTATTCTTGTGGTTGGGTGATGATTGTCCCTTGTTGGATTGTACAATGTCACATTCAGTCCTTATATTCATTCTAGAGGTTCTTGGGAAAATGACAGAAATTTGGTTTGAATGAATTTAAACACGAGTGAATAAATTTATGTAATTCACTTCTGTGGTGAAGTACCGTTGGTTAACATCGACCAGACTACACAGCGCAATAACCCAGAAGACGGATATCTTCATACTCACCGCTGTGAGAACCTCAAGTCTTACATAAATGTACATATTAATCTTTGCCTTGTAAGTGTGCAGGTATATGAAAACAAAACATATTGCATGTTGAATAAAACTCTTTGTGATGAATTGGTGAGTGTGTGTATTATGAATTCTAATTTCAAAAGATAAGATACTGTCTTTTTAGAAATTTTATGTGTGAATATACAATTCTTTATACAAATTTATGGCAACCCTTAAACCTTATGGCAGCACACCACTGTGTAAGGCATACCATTCAAATTACATTACCTATTTCTGTACTTAACTTTTTTCCCCTTGCAACTGAAAATCTGATTTCAATAAGCAGTGAAAGTAATGTGCATTTTGTTACAATCTTCTCACCTTGCCTCATATTTCCATGCTTTCTGAAGGTATGATTGACTATTGTGTTGCAGCCCAATGGAAGGTTTGAAACCAATAAGAAGATTTGCCTCAGCATCTCAGGTCATCATCCAGAAACATGGCAGCCCTCGTGGTCCATCCGCACAGCTCTCTTAGCGCTCATTGCTTTCATGCCAACACCTGGCAATGGCACCATTGGCTCTTTGGACTACACCCCAGAAGAGCGACAGATGCTAGCACACAAGTATGTTATTCTTGTGGTTGGGTGATGATTGTCCCTTGTTGGATTGTACAATGTCACATTCAGTCCTTATATTCATTCTAGAGGTTCTTGGGAAAATGACAGAAATTTGGTTTGAATGAATTTAAACACGAGTGAATAAATTTATGTAATTCACTTCTGTGGTGAAGTACGTAGGGCAGTCAAAAAATTTCTGGAATTGTGGTGTAGGACATATGGCAACGCTTTCCTAATCACCTTCAAAGTAGGACCCTTGCGCGCACACACACTTGCTCCATCGATCCTGCCATTGTTGGAAGCACCGACAGAAGGCTTCGTTCGGAATCTTCCGGAGTTCGGCCGTCGCATTTGACACATCGCTGGTTGTGCAGCAATTCCTCGCCGAGAAAAGCATTCCCGTCATCACCCAAGCACCATACTCTCCGGATCTCGCTCCGAGTGACTTCTGGCTGTCCCTACTCTGAAAATGGGCCTCAAGGGGACGCGTTTCACAACCACGGAGGACATCAAATCGAATGCGACAGCCGAACTCCGGAAGATTCCTAACGAAGCCTTCCGCCGGTGCTTCCAACAATGGCAGGATCGAAGGAGCAAGTGTGTGTGCGCAAGGGTCCTACTTTGAAGGTGGTAAGCGTTGCCATATGTCCTACCATTACAGTGCTATACCACAATTCTGGGAACTTTTTGACTGCCCCTCGTAGACTGGTTGAAATGTTACGGCCTGATTATTGTATGTACTATGTGGCAATTTGGAGATGTCTGTTCTGCAAACTTTGTAGCAAGAAACTGGTGCACACAAAACTTCCTGCCTTGTTGCATAGCTGAAGTAAAGTATAACAATGACTAGGTGACTTTTCATGATTCACAGCATGAGAATGGTAGTAGGCACAGTCTGACACGTAGAAAAAGTCAACATATGACATAGCAGTGACAGTTCCCAGCATAAATCATCCCTCTAGAAATGTGACTATATTCACCTAAAAACAAAAAGTGAAATAATTCTGAACAACAAGCATGTTTGGTTTGTGACAGGTCACGGATGTTGGAGTGTCCCAATTGTGGTAAAATCGTGGAACAACTCTTGCCATCAGTGATAAAGCCTCCCGCACAAGAGGAGTTCTCACTCATCACACAGATAGCACTTAAGGTGAACTGTATGCATAACATTGATATGTGCAAGTGTGCACAAATTTCTTGTAGTGTTACTCATTTCTGACGGCATGCTCATGAATTATGGGATGGGCCCCAGTCATTCAGAATTTGAATATCCTTAAATAATTGCTTGTAGTTCTGTATGTATTGAAATTAAACCCTGGGAAATCCCTGATTGATCTTAAGGAAATTGGTTGTATTGATATTTATTTGTTTGAAATGGTTGGGATTGCTTTGGTGTGATGTAGAGGTATGTGGTTAATTTCACGGGACTGGCTGCTTGTTGCTTGCAGGTAGAGGAACAGCCTTCGGTGGAGGTAAAGGACGAGGAACGGCAGCCTAGTGATGATGAGAAAGTGAGGCTGCGAGTTGGCTTGTCTCGATTGATACCGCCCAGTGAAATGCAGACGCAACCGCAGCATTCCACCATTGGCATAGTGAGCAATGCAAGTGGCAGCTATAAAAACTGGCTGATTTGGTTTCTTGTAGGTGCCATCATATTCCTAATCTACAGAAGACTCTTTCTCATGTAACCATCCAGTGCATTAATCTGTACAGAAATGAAACTTTGCAGATCCAGCCCAAACTTTATTTTTGTTTCATATGACATTAAATGTGTATATCTTGGTCAGTTATTGTGGAAAGAACTGAAAGAAACAGTGATAAATAAGCATAATGACAACAGTTAAGGTTTTACCAAGGAGTAGAAAGTAGAATGTTTATAGGTGGAATTCGTGTGCATGTTTTGCGTTGTGGATGGTGACGGATGGTTTATTTCGAGTGTGTGCCGTGCCTCATATTCGTAAGGCATCGTTGAAGAGCAGTGCTCTTCGAAGTACACTGATATTCCAAAAGCATTACTTACACCACATTATGCAATTAGTTGTTGCACTAATCTTGGGTCATTATCGCATTAATGTGATCTGAAGTCAGTTGTGCACAAAACTGTGTTCTGACGGTGAGAACTCTTGAATTCCATTGTTGCGAAAGAGCATGTAAAAAAACATCAGTTTTAGTGCTGATTATGAGTTAGCATTAGCTTTTATAAATAAAGTGGTATCATTGTCTACTCTATGGCCAGGCTGTGGCACGCCTCCCCGTGATTGGCTCTGAGGTCCTCGCATGATCTCGACCCTACTCCCCACTGGTCTGGCCAAGGCCTTGCCTTGAGTGACTGGTTCCTAGGTCTCAAACTGATTCCACACACACTGCTTACTCATTACCCTGATGATGGTGGCAACAAGGACATCTGAAACATTGGTAAACTACCAGACTACGTAGAATTACCCAGAAGACGGCCATCTTCACTGCCTAGTACTGTCATTTGTTTCATAGCGCAGGACAGACAGTTTCATTTTAAAGCAGTTGATTGCCATTGGAATGTAGTACTACAAGAATTTTCTGCTGCTTGTATGATTTTATCAGCACACTTATGATAGGAATGTTTTGTACATATGTGCATATATGTAATGGAAGGTTATATTTGTTTAAAGTACAGAACCAGCGATGGATTTCCCTAAAGTTTGGTGTTTGAGGTCTGAAATGAAAGTTTCAGAATTTGAGGTTTTCACAGTGACATGTTTTCTGGCTTTAAACTGTTATGCTGTACTTTTTCTGTGTTGTTGCAATGCAGCCCTCAGTTAAAAAGGCAGTGTGTTCTTCCAAACTGTTGGCATACAACATCCAAAAAGTATTTTCATTTTAACTATATGTTCTTTATTCTCTTTTACTTAAGAGAATTATATATTTCTTATTTCATTTGCTGTTGTAGGCAAGAAATTTGTATTTTGAAGGTTCTAGGGATTGTTTGTTGTGTACTGTATTGCATATTCCTTTGTTTAACTTTTAGCACTTTCTTTAATTTATTTACAGTTGTAAGGAAATCAGTATTGAATGAGTTTCCTGTAAATAAAGGATGACAGTAATTAACTGCTGGATGATACATACTTGTGGACCATTTTTTATTCTTTTGCAATCTTCATATCTTATTTTCAAGTAATGAAATAAATTAAGGTGTGGTCCACAGTGGCTACGCGGGCCTTGTGCTGCTTGGTTATTGGGACCATGGGTTCAAAAACCACTCAAGCCATGGATGTTTGTCTGTGTTTTTCTGTGTTGTGCTGTACTGTGTACAGGTAGTGGCCTTGCGACAGGCCAATCCCTCTGTAAGGAGTCCTACCAAATGTCCATAGATCAAGCCAAAGAAGAAGTTGGGACCCGCAGTGCTCAGGCACTTGAAAGGGTACCGGCAAAATGTATAAACATTGTTAAAACCGGAAATATGTATATAAATAATAATAATAAACATTATGATGAAGAGAAACTGAAAGTAATTATGCTGATTTTAAAAGATATTTAATATGTATTTTATAATAAAAAGTAGTTAAAAATAAGTTGAGGAAATACAATTTCACAAAAGAGCTATATAGTAGCAGTAAGTGTGATTCACATAACTTCAGGAACGGTTGAGATAATTTATCCTGGTGTATAATAGTGATACTGGTTGTAACCAGTTCACATGTAAGTTTTAAAGTTTGCAGTCGTTTGTGCCTTCCGTTGACATAGATAGAGGTAAGCTGTACAGTTGTAGTGTGCCTATGGAGCTGTGAGAATTTAGGTTCATCGTTGGATGGCAGCACTGAAATTTTAAAAAGAAAATTACGAAGTGCTGTCTAAAAGTGTAAGACGTATGGTACTTCGTGAAAGTGGTGAGGAGTAAAGAAACGTACACAGATAAGGTATCGTGAGCGACAGTGTTTTGGTTACTAACTGTTTCTCAAGAACGATCGTTTTCAAGTCGCCAAGTTTGAGAGGGAAATGATCTGCCGTTACACACGCGGTCTTCATTCCCGATGTTTGCTATAATGGTGAGCCGGTGTGTTGTTCTTGGACTTGTTAGTGCAGAAGTGATTCGATTTTGATATGACGGTGACGAAGAAATGTGTAGAAATGACATTATTTTTGCTGCTTATATTATTGGTGTTTTTAGTATCAAGTAATAACCAACAACTTTCAAACTGCGAATTTAATTTGTCTTTTAAAGGCCAAAGTGTAGTGTATAATTTCGGCAGGTGAGTAGAGTTGATGTATTTTGTAAACTTGTGACCAGCATGCTGTCAGTTATCTTCCAGTGTCATATGATTTTTGGATACTTGAGGTACTCTCCCCTCACGTCCATACACTTGTTTCACATACAGATAGCGTGGTGATTGCTAAAACTCTTATCAACTGCATTAAACTTCCTGAAGTCTATCCAGTGATCCAGATTTGGTATTTGTGATGTTGACCTTTTGAATTCACATATTTTCAGAGAGTTAATGAGTTAGTTACTCTGTTGGTTAAAATGGCATTCATCCATTGCTGACAGTGACGTTAAATATCTCAATCCTGAATATCTGCTGCGCAAAATAGAAAGTACTGTGTCTGATTTACATAGGTTGATAAAGAGCAGACTTTCAGAAACTTATGGCAAGTATTTGATGGATATTGAGATGTTGACCAGTCATTGTGTCAATGCAACTGCAAGAAGTTCAGCTGTATGAGGGCAATGTGTCATGAAGATTTCAATGTACTTACATTTTATGGACTTTGATAATGACAAGGTTCAAACTAACAAAATTGACAAACTTAAGACATCCTTTGTGTTGGCCTTAGAGTAGCATTCTCTCTCACTTAAGTGACTGTCAGTATCATTAGTTGGAAACTGGATGAAATACAAGAATGATGTAATTCTATCTGCAGGATAAATGAGGCCATATTTGTTGTCTGGCGTGACTGGTAGCAAACATGGAGCTTATTTCAGTTTTCACCCTACCAAGTGTGAGGTTATATATATTTTAGGTTCAGAGCAATGTACATCTGTTAAGATTGTGGCTAATGCATTATATGATTGCACATTTTTAATAAGTTACAGTGAATTTTGAAAAGTAAAGAAACCAATTTGAGCAAATGTTTGAGAGTAGTGTGTCAAGTTCAGATTTATATAATCTGTCAGAAACTGAATATTTCAGTGATTAATATGATAACCTGAGAAAGATATAGTTTTCTCATTTCATGAATAGTCATGTGTT